TTTTCTTAGCAGAAGAAATACGATCACAAGTCAATAAAATAATTTCAACTAGGGATGTCCAGATCATCTTTTTTTGCTCCCGATCCGATTCCGATCATTTGATTTTGACAATTTGCCGATACCGATTTTTCCCGATCCGATCTTTATGCAATGCATTAAGAGAAAAAAAAGCATTCAAGTTGTCCCTTAAGGTTATTTTTTTATTTAAATTGGATATTCTATCCAACATGGATATAGCTTCTTTCTTTCACAGCAGCATTGGATCAGTTCAGTTGTGCAGCATTGGATCAAAACAAAATAAAGCTTATCAGTACTCGTTAGCTTACTGCTACAATTAGACACTGCGCCCACTCTGTTGCCAGATTTGAGAGAAATAAGCAACCAGGTCTATGAGAACAAGCCCCAAAGAAGCAACACATACATGATGTTCTGTCATTTGAAACCAAAACTAAGGCCTCAGGATGACTTTAAGACTTGAACATGGTCATTTTTGTTTTGTGACATTGAATACAATATTTTAAAAAAAGTATTTATTAAAAACAAAAAACCCCGATCCCCGATTTTTTTTCTCCCGATTCCGATCTTTTGAAAATCACGTGATCGGCTCCGATCCCCGATCACGTGTTCGGATCGGGATATCTCTAATTACAATATTAAGAAAAAGTAACTTGTTTATTTATTTTTGATGTTATCGAGTTGTTTGCGTCTGAAGCGCCTTTTAGCTCAATTTTTTTATTTTTTTATCTTTTATTCATATCTTTTTATTTTTCTTATTTTCTTTCATTTTTGTTTTGTTTTAATTGTGTGTGTGTTCAGGTCTGGAGAAGAAGACGCAGGTCCTGCAGCCGACGGAGAAGAAGACGGTGGCGTTTCACGAGGCGGGGCACGCCATCGTGGGCTGGTTCCTGGAGCACGCAGACCCCCTGCTGAAGGTACGCTCAAGATCTTTAAATACTAATAAATCAATATTAACCCGAATATATCTTTACAACATACTGCTGAAGGTACGCTGCCATCCATCCATCATCCACCAAAACCGGGTCCACCTCCAGAGAGAAATCCATTTCAGCCGCTTGTATCCAGACCTTGTTCCTTCTGTCTCGACCCATCCTTCAATATCAATGTCCTCAATCTATAGTGGAGATTTTGGCTGCATGTTGATGTGCCATATCTGAAATACTGATCCTCCAAGAACACATCGTTTAGCTCGGATAACGCTGCACAGTTTAAACCTCTGCTTGGACAAAATGGACTCTTAATTATATATATTTGTTTCTCATTTTTACTCGACATAATTATGTCAAACATGATTCATTAATGTTGAAAATGCTTCTAGATTTAAAGTACCTGCTGTATTTGTACAGTTCAGCTAAATACTTTAAATACTAACCCTAATATATCTTTACAAAACCCAGCTCCTCAGACGTCACAAAATGTCATTTAATGGTCTGTATGAAAATGTGTTAAATATTATTTTAAAAAAACAAACTCTAAAAGTACAGGTTTACTCAAAACTGTGTTTTTAATTAAAAGTAATTAAAAATAAAAGTGTTTTAACTAAAATGTTAAATATAAAAAAATGTGTATGATGATAATAATAGTGAAATTAATAAATAAGAAAATTAAATAAATAAATGTATTAATAAAAACAATAATTGATAATAATATAGTTAAATAAATGTTAATAGGAATAATCAAAGAGCATCTTAAAGCAAAGATGCAACCCAGAGCTTTTATAAAAGAAACCCATTAAAGATAATAGTTAAAAATAAAAATCTTTTAATAAATAAAATAGAAAAGTATATGAATAATGCACGGGGCTCCTCATGTGTATTGTTGTGTAAATATGTTGCCCCTAACGTAGCTCTTTAAACTACACGTCATATCATGTGTAGGAACACGGTTGTGTGTGTGTAAGGGATATCTAAAAAGTGTGTGTGTGTGTGTGTAGGTGTCGATCATCCCGCGGGGGAAGGGTCTGGGCTACGCTCAGTACCTGCCCAGAGAGCAGTACCTGTACAGCAAGGAGCAGCTGTTCGACAGGATGTGCATGATGCTGGGAGGGAGAGTCGCTGAGCACGTGTTCTTCGGGAGGATCACTACAGGAGCTCAGGACGACCTGAAGAAGGTCACTCAGTCTGCGTACGCTCAGGTAACACACACACACACACACACACTCACTCACACACACACACACACACACACACACACACACACACACACACACACACACACACACACACATTCTCACACACACACACACACACACACACACATTCTCACGCACACACACCTGAAGGGTCACTAAGTATAAGACATTTTTTTTGTTGCAGTTTCATAAAACCAAACAGGCTCATTGAGTGTGTGTGTTTGTGTGTGTGTGTGTGTGTGTCCCCAGGTGGTGCAGTTTGGGATGAGTGACCGGGTGGGCCAGGTGTCCTTCGACCTCCCCAGGCAGGGGGAGATGGTTCTGGAGAAGCCGTACAGCGAGGCCACGGCAGAGCTCATCGACTCTGAGGTCAGAGAGCTCATAGAGAGAGCCTATCAGAGGACTCTGGAGCTGGTGACTGAGAAGAAGGAGCTGGTGGAGCTGGTGAGGACACACACACACACAGACAGACACACACACAGACAGACAGACACACAGACAGACAGACAGACAGACAGACAGACAGACAGACAGACACCCTGTCTGTGTTGTTAGTCCCTGTATTAACCCCCCCTCCCCCCCCCAGGTGGGCCAGCGCCTCCTGCAGAGGGAGATTCTGGACAAAGCGGACATGTTGGAGCTGCTGGGGCCGCGGCCCTTCGAGGAGAAGTGCACCTACGAGGAGTTTGTGGAGGGGACGGGGAGCTTCGAGGAGGACACCTCGCTGCCTGAGGGTCTGAAGGACTGGAACCAGGAGCGGGTGGTCGAGGAGGAGACAACAAGCCCCCCTCAGGTCAAGCAGCAGGCCGTGTAGAGCAGGGAGCAAAACAAGCGCTCCCTCCCCTCCACAGGACAAGCAGCAGGGGGGAAGAGAGACACTGACTACTGAACGCCTCAATGTGCTGCGTTTGCTTCAGCTGATAGTTCAGATCATTCAAATCCACTTGGGCCGGGTCTCAATCTTCTTCTTCTTCACAGAAGACCTCGTGGATTTTAATTTGGGAGGGAGACTCGTGGATGTTTTCCAGGTATCGCTTCACTTTGATTCACCACACTTCACAGACACTTCTACAGTAAAGATATGGATTCATTTCGGGGGTTCCTGCTTCAAAAAAGTCATTTAAGAGCTTTAATGATTAATTCAAGGATGTAAAGATGAGCGAAACAAGCGCTCCCATCCAACCTGCTGCAGTAACACTGACTGGGTTTCCACAGCTGGGGAGGAGGAACACTGAACGCCTCAACGTACTGTGTTTGCTTCAGGTGATTAGTTCAGATAAAGACGATGTTAAATAATAAATAAAATAATAACTAAATCTAATCCAGCAAGATCTCCATATCCTCAACTCTCGATGAACGCACGGGTCTGATGGACTTCTGGGACGGAGACTCGTGCGTATTTTCCAGTTATCGAGTTTTTAAGTGTGTTATTTCAAACTGAAATCACTAAAGCCATGACAGAAACATCTTTATTATATCAGTGCAGCGTATATGAAGTTACTGCGGCTTTCCTGTGGATTTATTTCAGGTCTTAAACGTCTGTGTTTCAAAGAAAGTAAATGAAGAGCGTTTATTATTCCTCTAAGCGAACAAGTAGAGTCTCTAGAAATTCCTCTGAACGTGGACTTTATTTAAATCCCGCTGCATCAGTTTCCTCCTCAGTCCGACAGGAAGACGCAGACTGCACTGCGTGGAGGTTTCTCTTTTTATTTATGGAATCAAAGGCGAGTTTTGCCGCTCGGCGGCGACGCCCCGGAGGTGTGTTTTAGACGTGTAAAAACGTTGAGTTGATTTGAGTTGTTTTCTGTTTTCACTCCAAGCGACGGAGGTTTTCTGTAGAAACCGCTCGATGCTGGGACGATGTGTATGTTTGTATTGATTTTGTGCAAAAATCTCAAGTAAATAATATCCAATATACATAATGGCGTTCTCTTTGAAGGATCTCTGATGCTTTCCCAGAACCCCCCCCCCCACAAGAAGCCCTTATCTTCTGTCTTGATGTCTGTCATTCCCCCTTAAAGAATGTAGAACCAATGAAACGATACTCCGTTAGTCTCGGCCTGATTCATGTGATCATGTTTCAACACGTGAGATGTTAAACTGAGTGATCCCCCCCCCCCC